ATGCACTACCATATTTATATTTAATATTTTTCATTGTGTGCCTGGAATAAAAACATTTAAGTTCATCATGGTAACTTAAATGTGGAACTCAAATATAGACTAGGATTGGTGTGACATAAAAACAAAAAATAATGTTAAGAGTTCCTTCAGTACCAACCTGTAAACTTAATCCAAGTATTTTCAATAAGTTGGTAAACATTACAGCCTGAATAGGAGAGGTGTAAATAATTTCAGATCTAATTTACTTCAGAATACAAATATTTTTAATTAAACTACATTTGTAAGAAATTGTAAGAACAAAATGACCAGTATCTAGCTATTTATAGACTATGACAGAGTTAGCTATGGCGCCATGGATTTCTTGAGATATCCAACAACAACCTAGTACTTAAATAAGAAAATCATTATGTTCCCTGTGCTGAAACATACTGAAAGGAATGTTTTTGTCTTTCCCTATTTCTCTAAGAAATACATATAAAGAATTTTATACATGTATAAGTAACCATATAATAAGATGCTGGACATAGTTTTACTGTAATGAATGTAAACTAGACACAAACTTTTAATATAAGACTCACATCAGCTTAGCAAAAATAATTTTACATTACACATTAATTACAATTTGTAATTATTAAAAGCTTAGAGGTAATTCTTACTCTTTTTTTTAAAGTAAATCCTCGATTTCCCTTAAGTTGAAGATGATTGTCTATACCACTCATGCCGGAGACTTACATGTATGCTCAATATATAGTCACATATATACTATATAAATTACAGTTCAATAAATTCACATCTAGTTATATCTCATAACATGTATATCATTTTTTACAACCTATATTAAAGCTCTGAACATGAATGACTTAGGCACAGACAAATTACAGGGTGAAAAATAAACATGTGATATAATATGTATTTAAGGATTTTTTTTACAACTATGAGTTATTTTCTACATTTCTGAAACATTGAGGAAATGCTGGTTTCCTCATAAAAAATTTCTGATCACAATTTCCTGCTTCCTTTCAGTATTATATGACACAAGTAGTTTGGCAAATGTCTTAGATATATCAAATATTAAAACAATGAAGTTAACATGCATTATTGTATAAATTAATATCAAAATTTGCCTTCAATACAGTAGCCAGATTGTCATTATCAAAAATGATCTTGAAAGCAAAGATTTACCTTGAAATATTTGTAATGAGGGTAAAAATATTATGTCTTAGTGGCTATATGCTCTAATACATTACTTTTAATTTGATTTACATGTACTATCAAATATATTGGTATGTTTACTTACTGTATTATTCATTTTGGTCTAAGATTTAGACAATTCCGCATTAGCTTTGCACAAAGTTCCCGTTTTTCACATTTCTGTATTACATGATATACACAATGAATTTAAAAGTGTATGATTTTACAGGTGCCAGTTTGCCCCTGTAACAATGACCAAGAGGGCTAAAAAGGCTATGTATAGCCAACTTGGTCTGGCTGACCAAATATATTGATACATTGTATATAAAGGACTTGGTTGAGGTGATGCTGTTTAAAGATTTATAATTTGAATATGTCACATGAACCAAATATGAAAGAAACCAAGAAATCTGACAGTGGCCTCTACAGTGAAACAAAGTTATTCTAAGATTTGACCCTATTAACCTAGTTTCTGACCCTACATGACTAATATAGGAAAGTCAAACATTCTGAAAATTCATAATGACTAGATGAAAAATCAGGCCTATAGCCTTTTAATAATTTTTTCTAAAATTTGACCTAGTGACTTAGTTTATTTACCCTTTCTGATCCAGTTAACAACAAAAAAACCCTAGAACTAATCAAGATCAACATTGGAAATAAGTTTCATATTGACTGGATGGACAACGTGGCCTCTAGAATAAGGTAAATACCAATAACTCATCCAGTACATTGTAGTTTTCAGGTGAGTTAATAAAAGGGCAACCATACACTGTAAGTAAAACTAACAATTTGCTGCATGACCTCAATATGATGCTTATTTTTGATAAGGTTTCACCTGGGTCAAAAAATATTTTTTCCAGGTTTCACTAAGTATATTTACATATAATATCATAAGATTTGATCTTTTGATCCATATTACATCATAAAATACATCCAATAATGCAGTTATCAAATAAATGAATGAAGATATATATGAGCCTGGCCAGCAGGAGTGAGGATAACAATAATATAGGAAAAGTGGTGAAATCTGTGGCTGTCATGTTAATATCATATGCTAAAACAACAAGAGCTGTCCAAGAAGCAGTGCACTACATTTTTCTAATTGAATGACAGTGGAGCTAATATGTGACACATGTATATAGCTGTAAAAACATCTTATTTTAAGATATCTGAGATTTTGATTACATAAAAAGAAATATTGTGGTCATAAAAAAACAACTGCAATAAATCCTTTCAATTCTGTTAAGCAAATTAATTTTCTGTCAATTTGTCAGACAGAAAAAAGATTATTTAATTAAAAATGATGTGCTATGCATTGAATAAGGATATACAAGTCAATCTCAAGTGAAATTACCAAGGAGATTCAACAGCACCAAGTTTACGACTTATTAAAATCTGCTTTACTTTTTTCTTTAAGTACTAAAATACAATTAGAAAAATATGCCCACAAATTAAAAACAAAAAAAAAATTTAAGATTAAGCAGAAACAAACTAGAAATGTGTTCATAGGACACTTTTGTCCCCATTTGCTATCACAGAGGCAAATTTAGTCAAGTATTATAATTATCAATAAGTAATGGATGTACATGTCTTTATAGTACATGTATAGGCATTATAACTAAGAAGTTTCACAACTCTATCACTGAGGAAAGTATTGTTTTCTGTTAGACATCAACGTGACCTTGACCTTAATGACCTCAAAATTAATAGGATTTTCAAAGAGGCCATAGGAAATGTTCATACAGGGGTTATAACCAACCTTCATGCTAAATGTTAGGACTGTTTGCTTTAGTGTTCTCTAGTTACTAGTGGGTCAAGGTTTTGTGTTCAAGGATACAGTAACTTTTGACCAACTGACCTCAAAATTTCTAGTAATGCCAAAGCATGGCTAGTTATTGGTAAGACAAGCTTTGGGTGGTCAAGGCCATGGTGACCAACCTGTTGACATGGGTATTATTGGTACTCTTATTCTACAAAAACTTTATTCATTTGTTTCCTTAATAGATTAAATGAATGGCTGAGTATTTCTTTTTTTAATTCTGGATAAACAAATGAAAATCAAGGACTAATGGATATTTTTTGTGAAAATGTGATGCTTAAATTACAAGTGGTCCCAACAACAAAAGCAAGCTGATAGATTCATTCATTATCATTTAAGTTCCATTTAGTATATTCTCCCAACATTGTTAAATATATATTTCCACCTCCAAAGAACAAACTAATTAATTAAACAAAATGTAATCATGTAAAAGCAAATAAATAAAAATAGATTAACACTCAATGAATTATAAACTACCAAATAAACAAAACAACCAACATCTGACTGTATAAACAGACCATAAAGGCAACATCTTAATTAAAGGAACTCCACTGAGGTCCAAAGACTCAAACAGAAAATTTGATTTTTTTTAATAGATGAACTGGGGCATATAAAATGAAAAGATATGGAAAAAAACAACTCAAAGATCTACTAATGATTAAATTGAAAATTGTATTTTTGTGCTTTTATTAGTCCAATTTCAGAAAAAAGTGTTTAAACACTTTTCACTTTTGTGTCATTTTTTACAACTGAAATAATTATTCTGTAAAAACAGACTGAGTGAATGATCTTAAATTTTGCACACAAGTTATTAGTCCAGACCTATATCAAGTGATACATAAATTTCAAGAAAGTATTTCCAGTCCTGTCATATAAAAAAAAACTGAGTGGAGTTCATTTAACAGTAAACATCGAGAAAATATTTCCAGTTGTGTCATAAAAAAACCCCAAAGTAGAGTCCCTTTAACAGCAATCATATATTACATAATAGTAATTGGTAGGTTAATAAATGTATGAAGATTAACACTAACATTTTATATTGCACAAACAACCAGTACACTGTGCAGATATAAATAAATAAAAACACTACTTCTAAACAAAGTTTTAACCTATAAATGGTAACCATATCACAGACACTGTAATTATATCCATAGAATATCAATCAATATATGATGTACTATCGTTCAAGCTACTCTCGTCACTTCGAGCATAGGATTTTCTTAATTTAGATCATCAAAATCTGTTTTATCAGTCTGTTTAATAGTAATATTTAAAAAAAAAAAAAAAAAACCCTCCAAAAAATTGTGAAAAAAGATCAAGATGTTCACAAAATACAGCCCCCAACACAACTGGTAGGGCACCCAGAAGGCACCAAGCCAAAAACAGGAGAGGGCACAAGGATAAAGACCAGAAAAAAGGCCACTTTCAACCTGAGGGACTTAATTTATATTAATTTGTAGAAGACCACTAAGCAATGATACACATCAAATATACTGTTCCTAGACTTGTTGCAGAAAGAATATTTCAATGCACGTTTTTTTTTCTAATGTAAATCAATGTTAAATAAGTGACTCTATAAGTGAGCCAAATTTTGACAGCAGAATCATGATTGAAGTAGCTCTTGTAGTGGCCTACAATACAATGATACAAATTAAACATTTTAGCTCCAGGTAGTATCATTTGAAGATTTATTTCAATGCTAAGTCTATGAAACTGGGAGAAACTGTTTGTTTAACACAGGGACATAATTTATTAAACATCTGTCCACTTGGCAATGCTTCATGCTTTATGTTTAAACTTGAAGACTTTCAGTTTCACTGAAGATATCTAAAAGCTTTTCTTTATATCAGTACTAAAATATATCGCTAGAAGAGATATTTTAACCTGAGACAAAATCTATTAAAATTTTGTATAGAAACACTGGGAAATGCTAGATGTAAATATCTAAGCCCTAAGCCATTTGTTTTCCGATAAGAAGATTTTAATGTTTTTCATGGAAGCCTAAGTAAAATGAATTAGCCCTGAGCAGGTCCAATTTTCTCTTAATGTCATAATTGATAAAAATTTTGTCAAGGACAACAAGGCAATGCAATATTCCAAATAAGTTGGTAAAAAACTACATTACAGTTTAGGAGACGTTGTTCTTTAAGAAATAATTTATCACGACCAGTGATTTTATCAAGCGATAAAATCACTGATTGGGATATTATTTTGATTCCAACACGATATAAACTAATCAATCCTGACGTAATTGGTATTAAGGTAAATTGCACCTGATTTGTTGCTGTACTTATTTTCAGCACATGGCATTTTTAATGGTTACGTCATATGTCTAAATATAGAAAAGCAACAGTGATTTTATGCGAAATAACACACACTTTGGGTCGTTCTATGCTCAAATGGGAAATATGCGGGTCATGTTAGAATTAATGATAATGTACAGACATCATGGGGTCATAAAAAAGTCCACTTCTGTGCATTTTGTGCCGAGGTTAGCTAATGATGGTTATATAAAGAATTTGGTGTAAAAATGTCACTAAAACAATATCAATACTTTAAGTAATATAACATATAAACTTTGTCAGTAGGACAGAGAGCTAGACTTTCTCAGTGTTAGATATTAAAACAAGAGAGCCTGGATAATGTATTAACAAAGAGGAAGATTTCATTCAAAATACATGACAAAGTTGGATAGTGACCAAGTATTTTGTAACTTCACAAAGGGTTAAATTTTATTCAATCCTAATAATAACCATCAGTAGTTTTGAAAATTGATATTGCAAGCAAAACTCTAATCAGGAATTTATTTTACAAATCAAGTCACAAATCTGTCAAAATCCATGCAAGTTATGGACCTCTGATAGTGACCTCCAATTATGACCTCAAAGACACATGTGAAGTTACAAACAAATGCATGTATCTTTGTGATTGATCAGGTAAGAAAAGCTGCATGCAAAGCTTAAACCAAAATGTTACAACAACACTGATGTAGACACCTCAATAAGTAGGATAACCCCACTCTAACAGTCCAGCAAATATGATAATTTATCACACAGACCTATCATACCTGATATATAAATATCTGCTGATTTGTATCAATATTAATGTTAAGTTTAAATATATATAAATGATATTCACCCTCTATAGTTGTTTCACATGTCATAAATTAAATTTGGAATGTTTGGACTAGATTCTGACTGACCAGAACTGATAATAACTTCAGCAAAACATCCCAACATTTCATCTATTTCTGATTTAAGACACACATGCCTGGTAATAAAAGCAAAATTACTGCCATACATAAATGCCATTCACAAATTATAAATGTGTCAACCTTAAGTGTAAATTATCTGCCCTTGAAATAAAAGAAATCCAAGTTAAAGGGCGGATAACTCAAAAGCAATCTAGGTGATCTTCATTTAAAAAAATGTTTCTGTTATCAAATTCTTAGATTGTGCAAAGTTAAATTATACAGTTTTCATTCTGTCTATATGTCTGTATGTATTTGTAGCATATTCCTTTAACTGTGTTTATAATACACAAATTAAAGTCATTAAGTGCCTTTAAATAAATGACAATTAACCAAATCTCACCCTTTTTAGGTAATATTGTACAGTCAATAATTACTCAAGAATGATATCTAACAGTTACAATTACAGTTAATAAAGATTACAAGCAACAAATGCCTTAGAACTTAAATTTGATCACAGATAACTCAAAACACATGTAAGCAAAATAACAATATGTAAACAAAATATATCACTATAAGTACAATACCAATAACAATATTTGGCATAGTTTAAACACATGTCATCATTTACAATAAATAAGAACATAGAAAATAATAACCTGAATTCAAACACAATACTAAAACAATACACAAGACAAAAAGCATGTGCAGTACATTTCACAGAATGAGCTGGTAGATGCGAACTGGCTTATAATGAAAGTGAGAGGCAATGGTGTATGTCACTTCTTCACTAATCAAAATCACATGACTTTCTTGGATCTGACTGGTTCTATCAAGTTATATGTTTGGTTAAGTCACTTGATGGTGTTAGGTGGATACTGGTTCCCCGTCATCATCTTCACAGCACTTACATACTTTACATTTACAGCATAGTATGCAGGGTGCCGCAAGCAACAGGAATGGTGAGGCAACAAGTAAAAGAACTCCAAAACCAGCAAAGATGCCTATAACCTGAAACATAAATATTATGTTGTAATATATTAAAACAATTTATTTAGAGATTTCAGAAACACTTAACATTCAAAACAAATTCCATTGATAATGAAATAAAACAGCAAAATTGAAAAATAGTTCAAGAATGTGAATTATCACAACAAATAATCTTCAAAATAAAATAAATGATTGTATAAATGAGGTTAATGATAAAAAACATGCATCACTGTAATTTTCTTTTTTTTTTTATTTTTTTTTATTTTATTTTTTTTTATAAATTTAATTTTATATTTTTTTTTTTTTTTTTTTAGTTTTATTTTATTATTTTTTTTTTTTATTTTTTTTTTTTTTTTTTTTTTTTTTTTTTTTTATAATTTTATAATTTTTTTTCCTATTAAAACATTTTCATTAATTCCTGTTGAAGGATTTAAAAGATTCAATATCTAAATTATAAATATATCTATTATTTTCATGGGTTTTTACACCACAATCACATGCCAACTTTCAAATATTGGAGTAACAACTTTTTTGTTGGATGACACAGTACAGGTCATAAGGTAACTTTCCAGCTTTACTGCTGGAGGAAGACCTCAGGTGCTCCTTCATGCATTATTTCAGACACACAAGTGGGCATCTGATCTTCCATAAACTGGCTGGATCGCTTCTCACATTTTAGATCCAAAGTCCCTGACATGATTCCAACCCACAGCAGTGAGGGGGAAGTTATAAGTAATATTAAGTTGAGAACCTTAAACACTCAGCCACAAAGGTCCACACCTAAAACATGGTCTTGGAAAGATATTTTAAACAAACAAAAAGAAATATTATATTATACTTGTGTCCTGTGCCATATCACAGATGCTCGAGAATGTCCCAGCTTGTTCTTACATGGTCCCTTGTCATAGTGTCTTAATAAAAAATCATCCTTCAATAAAATACAAAGAAGCATAGATCAGAAAATGTTCATATAAACACAAAATAAAAGACAAACTAAAACTTCAGCTTCTCATTACTCTGTAATCTATTTTGTAACAGGGCTTAGGCAATATGATCTAAGAGCAAATTTGTATAAGTGATCAATAAAACATCAATGACACATTAATTATCCTTACGAAACTAAGTGACCCCTATGGCCAGAACATTTTGATCCAAGATGCCTGCTTCTGTTTGATTCATACAACTTTTGTAGAGGTCTACTAGGCTATGCTACATGTCACATATCTAAGCTGCGGCCATTGTTGTGTATTCCACAAGAAAATTTGAACATGTATTTTTATATCTAAATATATATATTAGTCTATATAAGTAAAACCTTGTCACAGGCAAATTGTGACCATTTGATAAGTGTGACCTTGTCCTCAGGAAGCCCAAACCTGTTCTCTGTTTGCCTCATTATGGTAAACATTCCTTCCATCGGTCCGAGAAAAACACATATTTCTGTTATTTTTAAGTTTTTTATATACATATATATTTGAAGTTTTATACGGTTAGTAAAAGTTGCTGTCCTATTTCATGAGTGACACTTGTTCACAAGGTAAAGTTTATCTCCAAATTGACTTGCAGATAAAGATGAGCAAATAAAGCCTATCAGTTGATCTTATTTTAAAAGCAATTTGACGTTCCTAATTTCTTTACTTCCTCTGGTTAGAATAAGATGTTTTTTAACATGCATCTTTGCAAAAAATATTTAGGTCAAGATGTGAAAGATGTTAGAAAGTTGTTGTACTTACATCGAGTGAAGTGAGACAGTACCAACAGAACACATGTTTACAACGTTTACACATCATCTGAGCACAGCCATCGTTTCTTTCTATAGGTACATGGCAAACCGGACAACGCTTGATTTCAGAATTCTCTACACAATTAAATGGAATTCTACAACAAAATACCTTTAATTAATTAACTGTTTTTTCTATAAGAAGTCTAGTCTAGACATTTTCTTTTTGAGAAAAAGTATAAGTTGCTTAATATTCAATCAGAACAAACAATTTAAACTTGCAGATTTCTTAGAAAAATAACATATAAAAGTTGTTCCTAAACACAAGGTCCATGATGGCATTCAAAAACTCACCTAAGGATATGATTTACATAGATTTACATAGACAAGATTTCATAATTAGCTCATTCCTCAAGTTCTATCAAAATCTGCCAAGTTGCTGAAAAAAAAGTAACCAATGAACGAGCATCTGGATATGATATTTGTATCAGTATTCCTTTTTCTGTAGTCACAATAAGTAAACCCCAGACAAAATAAGACAATCAACGGGTATGCTCTGGAGTGCAGGTAATTAATACCTGCACTCCTGTTAACACACTGTGCATGTATATGTATACGATTCAACTCTCACACATTTTCAACAGGAAGGTCCCCAAACTATGATACAAATAATAGTTATAAAACCATATTCAAAGTTTGAAGGATAAAAACTATGTAATTACCCCTGATCCTCTAATCTTCCAGACATAATAACTTCATCACAGGACTTTGCATGATGCCACCTTGATTTACACACTGAACAAAACTGTAGACCACACTGAAATAAAATATTATATAATTAAATCAAACAAAAACTTCAATTATAGTGAAAGAAAAAAACCCCCAAAACAACAATAATATAAAAGCTGTATGATGCACTTAATTCATTTTAGAGCAGTGTCGAGTTTTATATACATGAACTATAAATTCATAGTTCAGTCCAAATAAGCCCATTAATATCAGTATAATCCACCTTTCATTTTTGTCATTTTCTTTTTTTGTCATTTTCTTACATCTTATTCTGATTGTGACTGATTGTGATAAATCAACGTAAATATAAACTTGAATTATTTACAAAGGTTGTATTAGCTAACTATACTTACAGTAGGGCAATCTACTGGTGTAGGTCTTGTTATAGCATCACTGGTAGATGTACTACATACATGACATACTGTCTCACAACCTGCTTCTGGACAAAATGTTCTGTGAGGGTCAAGATCAACCTCTGTAATATAATAATAACACAGGTAAATAATATTAACCATCCCTAGCACTCTGAATGCTAAAAAAGTAAAATAACTTGTGCATGCCACCAGTATTGAGCCAGACAGACCAATAAGACCAGATTATATTACACTAATATACCTCAAGAGCTTGTCACAAACAATGCAGCAGTCCCCTACCAGTATCATGTTGTCTGATTCTTTATCTCATACCATGCAAATGTTGGCATTGACTTTTCAGATTTTTTCTCCAATTTCTTGACATATAAATAGAAAGGAATCATGCTCCTGCAATTTCTCTGCATGGTCCTCTATCCACATAATAAGTATAATCAAACTAGCTAATAGCTTTTATAGTTCTTCAGTTATGGCAGGATCCAGGTTTCATCACAGAGAGAGAGAGGTCTCAAGTGAAAACCTTCATTTGTGTAAAAGATTGATGTTTTTTTTTAAGTTAACAAAGACCCATAACTTGGTCAAAATCCATTTTAAAAATTAATATGGGCCTTGAAAAGTGATACCAAAGAATGTATTAAGCTAAAAAGTGAAAACCTTCATTAGTTTTGAAAATTGCTTTTGTATGCATTAGTTTAGTTACAAGCAAATATCTTCAGTGGTTGATGAGATATGTTGCAGTACAAAATGCACATGAAGTTGCATTTTTTAAACTTGAACCAAAGTGTTATGCAAACACTGACGTCATAACCCAGGTGAGTAGGATAGCCATATAGTTGAGCTAAATATAAAATGATGTGCATAATCTCAATATGGCCAACTATCCACATGTATACACCATCCACATGTATACACCAAGTATCATCAACCTAGCTTTTGTAGTTTGAGTTATGACTGGATCTAGATTTCTACAAGCCAACAAATGACAGACTGACAGAGGGTAACCTACAGTCCCCTCTTGTTAGGGAACTAACAAGGGACAGTTCTAAATTCAAAGCAGGGGTGAGTCCTGACAGAATTCATCGATATTAAAAACTTTTGAATATCTTTAGAGAAACATGGTAAGATTTTACAATCTTATATTTTTACATAAATTGTAACTAACAATAATTGCTCATAATTGTTACAAATAGCTCTCTTATTCTGACAAATAGATACAACTTAATACATTTTCATCACTTTCCAAAAAAATCAATATCAAGTTTTAAAACTGTTACATTTTAAAACAAATTATTCTTCAGAAATTGAAACAAAAGTGTATTACCACTTTAACAGGTAATTGTTTTTGTTCCTGTAAAAGTATTAATTTGTCCATTATGTCATTCTTAAAGCCTTGTCAATTAATTCAAGTGTTTACCAGAATTTTTTCCTTCTATAAATGTGTTACTTTCAGCTATATTGCAAAAGGAAGTGCTTTACAAACAATGACAAATTGCTAATTGGAAATTGTTCAAGCAAGGAAAATTTTTAATTGTCAAACTTAACTTTCTTCTCATGATTTCTGAACATTAGTGTACCAGAACAACAAACTTGCTTCAAATTGTTTATATCAAATATCTTCCTTTAATTTAAAATAAAATAAAGAGAATAAAATAAAGAGAATAAATTCAAGTTTTAATTCCTGAGGTTCTCTAATTGCCTCAATTTTTATTGTTTGAACTTTTATTTAAAGGGACATGTTACTGTTACCTATAGACATATAGCAGATTAAAATTTAATTTAAATTTAGCACGATTTTAGAATATACTAACAAAAACACTTTAGGTGAAAAAAAAATGGGGGTTACCAACCTCTCTGTCAAGTTACTTGCTTTGTTTTAGAATGAACATAACATTATACTCTCAAACAAATGAAATTTATTCCACCAATGCCTCTGAGTAAGTTTACCATTCATGTAAAATTGCAATATTTAGGAAATAGATATCATGCATTGTTGTAGAATAATGCACTGTTTGAGTTCAACTGCGTAGTATTATAATCACGAAGACCGATAGGCCTGAGTGATTAATTACAAGCGTTTGAACGAAATAATGTGAATTATTATACAACAATGCACGAAGAATTAATATCTATTTCCATTCTAATACGCCAAGAAAATATAATAATTATTATAAAGTTGGACTTTATTTTTGGTGGTTAAATTTGTTTTGCCTCAGAGTTTCCAATAGAAACATTCTTTAAAGGCTGTTCCAGTGGGTTGAAAAAAACTGTCGTTAAATCTTCCGTATATAAAGTATTAATAGTGAATTAAATGTGAAATTCAACTCGTTTGCGACATTGAAATAACGTTCTTGATTCAATTGTTTTTGCATGTGTTGAATGGCGCTACATTGTGACGTCACATAAACAACACTTTAAACGTCTGTATAGTGTTAACAACTGAATTAAAGATATTGGTGTTCGGATTCATTTTCTTAGTTAGACCATTTTCTTTCATTCTAGATAGTTTTGACAACAAAATTTGACAAAATATTTTTTTTTATTATATACTTATAAATGAAATATTGAGAAATATTGATGAAATAAAATGCGTATTTTCATTTTCCGTATTTTCACTGTAAAAATTTATTTTTCACTGCAGTGAAACATATTTTCCGTATTTTCACTGGTGTCTTGCCGGACTACTTTCTTATAAATTCTGCCAGTACACAAAATTTAAGGGAAAGTCTTTCAAATTTTATCGCAAAAAAAGGAGAAAAATGTATATAATAAACAGAAAATTCAATTTTTTTCTATAAATACATGATTTATTTTCATCTTGTGGCATGAAAATTACCATATTTCACTCGTGGCTACCGCCACTCATGAAATATTTATTTTCATACCACTCGATGAAAATAAATCATGTATTTATAGAAAAACTTGAATATCCTCTATTTATTTATCAGATTTTATCAAACAAAATGGCACTGTCAATGCCTCAGTTTGAAAATACACAGGGAGGAAATAAGAACGGCGAGTGCATTGTTGTAGAATAATGCACGCTTCCTGCCTTCTTTATGTAGGAAAATTTCCGCTAGTGTTAGAATTATTTGTTTTATTCCTTGTGCTATAAGTTGAAGTAATCATGGTTTTGAATATCAATTTATAAGTACTGTACATTTTTTAATTGGAATTTAAGGGAAATATTTTGTAAATGAGTGATCAATCAGTGACACCTGTGTAACTTCAGACTAATGCCTACTGAAACACAGAGTATGTATGCAATCATCATAAACATATCTCAAGGGTCTTAGGTTCTTCGCCAGATGTGGACTTCTATTCAACAACAGTTTTTTCACAAATACATAAACCAACAAGGAAAAGGTGTCCAGCTGTATTTGCCACACAAGATGGAGATGCAATATATTGAAACAAAGTCAAGTGTTTTAAGAGTGATCATGTAAATTTTTCAAATTAGTTTTGTCCAGTTCATAAATTGCAAAGAAATTTTGTTTTACATATATGAATATGAGCAATAAATGATATTAAATATCTATTTAATTGTTTACATTTATCTCATACAACTGTTAAGAAGTAGTTGGCCAATTAGAAGCTCTTAATAACATTAAAATTCCTTAATATAAAACTTCATTATTCACCACAGGACAAATTTAACACTGTAAGGGTCGTTACCTTTCTGGTATCTTATTTTCCGGTATCTAGTAAAGCTTTTATCATCAACAAGTTTCTTAACCTGTAAATACAAAATTGTCAATTACACAATGAACATACTTCCACAATAACATATTTTCAATATGTATTTGTATATCCTTTCTAGAATAATATACAGGACATATTACACACCATTTTATTTCTTAAAACAAGACACATATGGATATCATGCATTCCCTTAAGAATAAAACATCAGTTTAATCAACATTTAATGTCACTGTCTTCATAGCATCAAAACCAGTACAGCATTTGATCTCAAAGGAAAAATAATTTAATAACATTAAAGAAGAGCTCTGAATATCATAGCATAATAGGCCAGTGTATATACTATCATAAGATGCACAGTCTTTAAATGTGCAAGGACTCAAAATTTGTTAAGAGCTCCAGGATACACATTTTTAAGAGTTCAAGGATAGACATTTTTTAAGAGCTCCAGGATAGAAATTACATTTTGTTAAAGAAGCTCCAGGTTAGATATTTGTTAAGAGCTCCAGGATAGACATTTGTATTCTATATCACCTGCCTAAAGTTTCTAAATTATTGTTTGAATTTTGAAACAGAATACTTCAAAATACATGTATGAAAGAAATATGTTGTTACACAGAAATTCAATGTTACAACTCTTTCGAAAATGGTCCATAAGATTATTGAAGCAACAAAATTTTACCTTTTATGGATTTAAAAATTTTTATTTAATTAGATATAGCTTTATACCCTTTAAAGTTGCATGCCCCCAAATAAGCCAAGAGGTTTAATTTGTTTTTTTTTTTGGTCAGGTATTACGTTGCACCAATTCAGTATAGGCTGACTTACCAGCTTTACTGGTGGAGGAAGACCTCAGGTGCACTTCCATGTATTATTTCAGGCACCTCAGAGTAGAACCGCCAAGTCACCGACATTCCGTAAGAAAGAATCCAAAGTCCATTACCAACAGAGGTAAACCTCCTCTACTCCTGCAATTTTCCATGTTTAATTTTCAGATAATTTTTTTTTTTTTTATAATGTATACAAATAATAATTATACACTTACCTCTGGGAACAGAATTTTTCCTTGTTTTCTACATTGAGCATCAGGACAAGTTATAGACAGTACATTTCCTTCTGCTATCATTACCACCAAATACTGTCTCATACACTACAAATATAGGGAAAACAGAAACTATATTAAAATCTGTATAAGTAAATCACCACACATTAAAACAATAATGTGCATGTAATAATGTTACTCTATTCTAATGGGGATACCATTATTATCTGTAAGGTAAATTTATAGATGTGCCATTTATTTTGTTCAGAGAAAATCAGGGTGGATTATAACATATACAAGTACATGTATATGTATCTTGGGAGTTGTAAGACATCAACTATACAGTGCTTTAACAGAAACTGTTTTCCTATGATCTTTATAAACAATAAACATGCTTAATGATGCTAATTAACTACACCATCACTATATTTTGTGAGATGATGTAGTGTTTTATCACTAAAATATGTGCGATTATTTATGCAATGACAAAAATGAAACATAAGTATCCATTAAAAGAAATATACAGCACAATCAACAACAAATGAAGAACAGAAACAAACAGCCATCACAAAAGTTCATATTTGAGCACAAAGTGCTCTGGTGTGCTAAAAATTAGTGGTCTGAGGCCAAATTTGAACCTGTATTTTATGAAGTTATGTCTGTGTACAATATACTGTTACAATCCATTATCTCATTAAAGAGTTATCATCTGGAAACCATATTTTTTGTCAGAAGAATGGGGCAAAAAGGGGGCCATAACAATGTTAACAATAATAAAGCTTAAAGCAATGGATGCTTCATGAACTTGCACATTGGTCAAAGATTTTCAATGCATGTCAGTCAATAATAAATACAGACAGCAAGAGTTAATTTCAAGAACCAGTGACCTTGACCCCAAAGTTTGAAGACAACTCAAGATTATCTACCATCCAAATGGGTAAGACATCAATCAATAAATTAAGGCTGCCTTTATGAGTAAAGGTGTAACTCTCTTTTTTAATGCAGGAATTATAGTACTGGCAATTTTTCCTTGAGCCATTTTGTCATTAAATTGCAAAAATATGGCCAATGCAGTATCGTATCATTCAAGTTTTATCTTGACCTTTGGGATGCTGATCAAGATATTGTTCACTACATGTCATTTTTAAAAGCAGCATATATTTGCATAACTTTTTCTAATCCATTCATGAAAAATAAATTTATGCGCAACACATAACCATTTATTCACAATCGTACAAGTGTGACCTTCACCTTTGACTTGCAACATGTTATCTTAAAATGCATCATATGTATGTCAAGTTATTTATAAACAAGAATTTGTAACAGAGTTACCAATGTCCCCCGCCTCGGGAAATTTTATATGAAGCATAAAATTGTGCTATTTCAAAAGATTGAGGTATGGATCTCAGGACATTCAGCCCAAAATTATGATCAATGCTAGACCTGCAATTGTAACAATAAATTTGTTAAAAAAATAAAATGAAACAAAATTTAAAAATCTATCATGTTAAGATTTGACCATTAAGTGTGACCTTGACCTTGGAGGTAGGGGAGCAGGTGTTGTGCATGACTTAACGTCTTATTATTTAGACTATTTGTGCCAAGTATTTTCATAATCCCTTGAACTATGAAGAAGTTATAGATTGGACACAAAATATACCCTATAACAGACTATGTATATCTTTGACCTCTAAGTGTGACCTTCACCTTTGAGGTAGGGACACAGATGTTACGCATGACATATCATCTAATCATTGTGACTATTTGTGCCAAGTATTTTCAAAATCCCTTAATCTATGAAGAAGTAATGGACGGGACACAAAATATACCAAATAACAGACTCTGTTAACCTTTGACCTCTAAGTGTGACCTTGACCTTGGAGGTAGGGGTGCAGGTGTTGTACTTGACATATCGTCTTATTATTGTGACTATATGTGCCAACTTATTTCAAAATCCCTTGAACTATGAAGAAGTTCTAGATCCGACACAAAATATACCCTATAACAGACTATGTTAGTTTTTGACCTCTAAGTGTGACCTTGACCTTGGAGGTAGGGATGCAGGTGTTGCGCGTGACACATCCTCTTATTATAGTGACTATTTGTGTGAAGTATTTTCAAAATCCTTTGATCTATGAAAAAGTTATGGACCGGACACAAAATATACCCTGTAACAGGCTATGTAAGTATTTGACCTCCAAGTGTGACCTTGACTTTGGAGGTAGGTGATCGGTTTTTGCGCATGACACATCATCAGATTATTGTGAACAATTATGGCAAGTATTTACAAAATTCCTTCATAGATAAGAAAGTTATGGACCGGACACGACATATACCCTCAAATAGACAATTGACCTTGAATGAGCAAGTACGACCTTGACCCTGAAGGTACGGGTCTGGTTGTTGCGCATAACACATCGTCTTATTATAACAAACATTTGTGCCAAGTTATTTCAAATTCCTTTGATAAATGACAAAGTTATGGACCGGACGCAAAATATACCCTGTAACAGACTATGTTAATATTTGACCTCCAAGTTTGACCTTGACCTTGAAGGTAGGTGACTGGTTTTTGGGCATGACACATCGTCTGATTATTGTGAACAATTATGGCAAGTATTTACAAAATCCCTTCATAGATAAGAAAGTTATGGACCGGACACAACATATACCCTCAAATAGGCAATGTTGACCTTGAATGAGCAAGTGCGACCTTGACCCTGGAGATAGGGGTCTGGTTGTTGCTCATGACACATCGTCTTATTATAATAAACATTTGTGCCAAGTTATTTCAAATTCCTTTCATAAATGACAAAGTTATGACAGACGGATGGACGTACGGACGGACAGATGGAGCCTATTTCTATATCGCCCTTTTTTCTTCGAAAAGGCGGGGGACAAAAAAACCCAATAAATGACAGGTATGAACATCAGAAAATTTTTAGTCCAATCTTGATTTGTATCAGTGTGACCATAACTTTTGAGCTGGAAACTGAATGACAGGATTGTTGACAGTAAATGACCATAAATGCACTTCTATAAAAAATCATATACTGAAGTTGGACATACAAGTGTAACCTTGACCTTATAGCTACAGACCTGGGTCTTGCACACAAATCATCATCTCAATGTGCTACACAATTTTTCAATATTATTTCAAAATCCATTCATAAATAAGTTATGGACAGACTGAAGGAAGAAAGGAAGAAAAAACAGACATCCTCAAGTTTTGATACTTAAGTGGCTGATTTTTTCCTTCCTTACTGTTGTTTTTAGTCATGAAATAAGACAAAAGTATTCACGTAAAAATTTACTGAATAAATATCATCAAAGGATATTCACTTTTGTTCCCATTCACTCATTACCACCTAAATATGTAAGGACATGTGCTGGTTAAATAAACTTTAAAAACTTAAAAAAATTGTTTCAAACTGCTTATTAAAACAATCACATAAAGATATGAACAAAGTGATTTAGAAATCATTTAAAGCCTGAGTGACATTTTTTTCTGGATTTTTGGTGTGTGTTTTTTCTTTCTTTCTCTTTTTGTATCCCTTAACCTGCTGGAAGCAAAGAGATTAGCCTTTGCCATGCCCTAATGTTTACTGACCATCTTTGAAAATTTTATCTCATAAAAATTGATAATGGACAGTTCTTAAATAAATATGAAGTCCATTTCACAAATTTAGGTTATGGGTTAAGTGAGAAATAGTATGTATAACCTGGTGAGGCCAAATAGGACAGAACATATTATATTTATCAAGTTATAAACAATAACAGTCTTCCAGAAATGTTTAATTATGTTGAAAGCCATACTTTTTCTTCCAGATATTTCTCATGTTTTCCCCCTTGAAATGTCTAAAATAAGAATGGCCACCTTCTAAGAGAGAAAATTGCATCATATGTTTATGGTCTGAAGCTTAACTGCAAAGCATCATATTTCATCTTTAATATTGACTATCATGACTTAGGTATCATAAGTGATAAAACAGTGTTTCCATAGAAACAAAATATCCGATTTTCTGTGATTAGAACATAGCTGAATGTTGAATTGAGAGAATAAAGGTTTACTCTTATATGAATATAATCTGTAGTTTACAATACAAAAGGGCCATGATGAATCTATAATTATTGCTAAAATAAGATCTGTTGTCAAAAATGGCTGTAAAATTTTTACTCTGAGCCTTGATTCTTGTAACTTCAGCAGAAGCTCACTATGCTATACTACATGCAACAAATCTAAACACTAGGCCATGAATCTTCACTCCCATGTCCCAGGGACATACAATTTAATTTAAATAACTTTTGTAGCCTGGGCCCCATGGAAAAGCTTTATGCAAAATATTTAAGCTTTAGGTCATGTATGAGGAGTGATCAAAAAGTTCACAGAAAAATGCTCTTATTTATATTCTGACTTTAAAAACAAGATGAAATATTGAGATTGAAATATTACATTTAAATGTTTAATAATCAACAGAATTTAACTTCTGTCTGTACTGGTTAATTTTAAATTTATCAATATTAAGTTTATGATGTCATTTCCATTATCAAGGTACCAGAATACAAGTGCAATAATGAGCACTGTACAATGATTTGCTATCAATTTTTGCTTTAAAAATTAATTTTCAAGAATAACAACAGCCAATGCCACATGGGGGCAACACTAAACTTTTTTTTAAATAGAAAAAATAGTTTCTCCTTTTTTATTTTAATACTGTAGCTCTATCTAGTCATACTTCTTGTTTTGTCCAAGTATGAATCATTTCCATAAATAGATGACAAAGTTAAGAAAAAAATACAGGTAAGCATAATTCAATCACCTGACATTTAAAGATCAAGGTCATATCTAAAAAATTTTCAACAAGTTCATCTGGTCACAAGTGTTGTTTTGTCCACCTATGAATTAAGGCCGTACATATATAACAAAATTTTGACAACTTAACTTGACCTTTAAGAAGGTCTCGTCTAAAAGGTTGTTTTGTCTAAGTATGAAGATAATCCATTAATTAATTACAGTCAACTATAGCAATAATCGGTGAAAGTTCAATAATTTGACTTTCAAGGTCAAAGTCATACAAGAGTCAAGGTCAATTTGAGTTTAATATACAAGAAGGTCTTGGAAAAAATTGTATCATGGGAATCAGAAAATAATTGTCTGGACTAGGTATCTGTTTTCTTTTCAAATATTGAAAGATATAATGAAAATTACCATCCATATGAGGTGACCCAATGAAACAATAAACAAATGTCATATGATCAACAACCCTGATTATTCTTGTTAACCTGTCAAATCAGTGATTTTTTTTCCAGATTTTTCAGCCTTATACAGACCGTTTCCCAAAGCCAATAGTCTGTTTCCCCTAGCCAAAAAATTCTATTTTTCCACTAAAATGGAGTCATATTTTTCTCCTTTAACAGAAAAAATTTCTCTTACTGCAAAATAATAAAAGTTATATTACCAAATAAACATCTTTAATTGAAATTTGAAATGAAAATTTGATGAAAAGTATGGCTATGTAACATACTCATTTATTGGTGTTTGATTTCAGCTTTTCCCCTTTAATTATTTACTACGTTGTACTTTCCCCTTCAAAAAGCCACAGGTTGTTTTGAAAATTTAAATTCTGTTTGTAACTACAAAATCAATCATAATTTTCTACAGTGGTTTTATGAGAAGTATACAGGTTAAAATGACAGTGTTAAATCCAAAATGGCAACTTTCATGAAACATTCTCCATAAAATGCAAATGTGTATTACTTACTGATTCACAGTAGATACAGCCACAATCTTGGAGTGTGTAAGTGTCTTGTTTTGTGTACTCTGTCAGACACAGCTTGCATGTGATCAGGGGGTCAATGGCAAGGTCAACACAACTCTTGCTAGCAGAATATGCTGCCATTACCTGTTCAGATGAAAAAAAAAACAACAACAGTACAATCATAATATTCTAATATTTACTATTTTGTCACTAACAAGAGCCACCGCCAGAAGGGGGCATAATGCATAACTTTTTATTACCTTTTCTAAAAGCAGACAAATATAAGGTTAACAAGAAATGTGTCCTTAGACACGGGTGCCCCCACACTCCACCGATTTGTCAATCTTATGTCTCTAGGTCAATTTATTTTTGGCTACATGTGCCCAAGTTGAAAACTAAAAATCTTTTATTAAGTAAAAGGCAAATACTACAAATACTGAATAAATCCACAAGAAAACCCCAAGGTGCATAAGTACACATGCTGACCAACATTCTTGTAAACTTTCAGGCCTACAGGTCAAATACTTTTTGAGTTACGTGCAAAATAAGTTGGAAATTGTAAATTTTTACTAAGTCAAGGGCAATAACTCTAAAAATACTAAAAATATTGACACAAAAATACACAGGTGCACAACTACACATGCTGAGCAACATTCCTGTAAGGTTTCATGACTCTAGGTTAAATACTTTTTTAGTTACGTGCAACACACGTTGAAAAATTGGAAATTTTTACTAAGTCAAGGGCAATAACTCTAAAAATACTAAATATATCCACGCGAAAATACACAGGTCCACAACTACGCATGCTGAGCAACATTCTTGTAAGGTTTCATGACTCTAGGTCAAATACTTTTTTAGTTACGTGCAACACACGTTGAAAAATTGGAAATTTTTACTAAGTCAAGGGCAATAACTCTAAAAATACTAAATATATCCACACAAAAATACCCAGGTGCACAAGAACACATGCTGATCAACATTCCTGTAAGGTTTCATGACTCTAAGTCAAACATTTTTTGAAGTATGTGCGACACAAGTGGAAAATAGCAAATTTTACTAAGTCAAGGGCAATAACTCTAAAAATACTTAAGATATCCACATGAAAATACCCAGGTGGACAACTTCACATGCTGATCAACATTTCTGTAAGGTTTCATGACTCTAGGTCAATTACTTTTTGAGCTACGTGTGACACAAAAAGGGAATGAACGGACCGACGGACAACAGTAAATCTAAATCCCCCCCCCCCTATAGTGGGGGGCACAAAAATCAGCAAAAAACAAGCACAATTTAGACATTTGACCTTGAAGCTCAAGGTCAATTATGAATGAAGGTCAAGGTCATTTATGAATGACGGTAAAGGTCATTTATGAATGAAGGTCAAGGTATGTCTGGTCTACATGAAGGTCTTGTCCCAAGGGTTGTTTTGGCCAAGTATCAGTGTCTATTCAAGGATTTGAAAATCAGGGGGGATTTTTATCAAAAAGTGAGAATTTATTACATTTGTTGATTTGTTTCCTTCTTTCTCTATCTAAAATTTTCCCCCAGCCTCTGAAAAAATAGGGGGGAATTCTCAAAAATATGGGTGAATCCCCCTATACCCCCTCCTAGAATAGACAAGTTGCAAGTAATGAATACAATACACCAAGAACTTAAAAAATAAGATCAAGGTTAAAGTTTGCTGATGGCAAAGGAAACGCTGACATGACCTGGCACATCTACCAGTCCCCAACAATCAAGAGAGCAAATATTTTTAGAAAATAAAGTATTCACTATAGAGGGAGATATTGCCCATACACAAAATACCACAATATCTCATTGCATAGTATACTCGATTCCTATGATATCGTGGGTTCTATGATATCACGGTATTCACATTTTCTGTGATGGTTTAAGGTTAGTAAAAACAACACATGATGATGCTAATATTTATAAAACTGGACCACTAAATTCATTTCATCTACCAATAAATTTAATTTTGTGAATAATGAAAGTATTTGTGGGCAGAAAACTATTTCATAAAATCTTCGCGTTTAACTACTGTTTCTCTTAATTGTTTTTATACAGTCAATAAAAATATGTTATAATCACATATAAGTTGACATATTGTCTGTTCATATAGTTTGAATATTATAGCAAGTTAACTGTTGGAAGTTTCTCACAACTTAACTTGAAGATTTTAACCCATCTTTCCTTCCATGCTTGCATTTTTGCGGATTACCATGATACCATAGGAACCTCCTCAGAAATTACCCAAAATGGCTGACATTGGAAATAGTTTAAAAAATGACATTTTAATTGGATCTTTTGAAATATTATTTTTACAAACAGTTTTGGAGAAGTTCACTTATTAAATAGAAAACAAATTTCATTCATATATTATAACTATATTTGAATATTTTCCGAAAAACCGTTAAGTACCATGATATCATAGAACCCCGGGCTACAATAAGTTCCCGGGAAAGGAAGGGGAGCTACCCCTGGTCTCCCAACAAGTATAACATGCGACCCTTTAAATTCTGCTGTTGATATTCTAGATCCATATATTAAGAAAAAGCAAAGTATTTTACACTTGTGTTGCAAGAGTTGCTCCCCTTTGCTACCGGAAAGAAAACGATGTCGCACAACAGTAAATCTTACAGGAAAAAAATTAATCTTTCTAATGTGAATAGTTGCCAAAAAATTGATATTCTATTCAAACAAAACTCCCTAAGAGTAAGAGACTAAGACAATATGAAACAATTGCCTCGGCTACCTAATGTAAAAGCGCGGACGATGATAATACATCACAAGTTCATAAATTTGTCCTGGATTCTTTTTTGTTTCTCCTCATTTGTGTAGAAATAAAATTCCCCTCCTATTGCATTTGCACCGACCGCTTCTCCCAAAAGTGAAAGAAAGAAAAAACACTGGTCGAATTTTCCCATGATCAAATGAAACTCTTATTTTGTGCCTATGAGTCTAGTTTAGAAACCCTTTGGAATAACCATCCTATCATTATAAATCATTCATTCAATGTTTCAGAATATTTAGAGGTCTTGAAAGTTATGTTTTAATTACACAGATCAAAAACTATGCTGTAGATTTTCTTACCTATTCATCGTTCTATTTAAACCTTTAAAATCTTTTTTCAAACAAAGCACGAATAGATGATACATTGATGTACGTTTAATAAACAGAGGCTAGATCTAAAACACTTCTATTTCTGTTTATTGTGTTCATATTTTTTTGACATCTTGACTGTTTCTTCTATATACATTTATATTTCATAAATCATGGGAATTAAATTAAAATTTGTAAACCAGACTGGAAGGTACTTTTATATTTCAGCCAATGGACAAGTTGCTTGTAAAAGCCAATTGCACTACATCTATCAAGACATTTAATTGGCTGACTACCAGCGATCGCCATTTTACCGCGATATTTTAAGAAGGCTTGATTTTTAAAGATAATTTACAGAAAACATGTCTGACGAATCCTCTGAACAGATATCATCAGGAGATGTAATTTGATTTTTTGTTTTTCTTTCAATTCCATGCGGTATTTGTTAAGTTAATGTTGTGATTTTGTCTAGAAACTGCACAGAATCGGTCTTCGTAGGTGCAAATTAGTGGGTGGGGAATGTAAAAAAGGAAAATCCGGTTCAGTTCGGTCTAAAATCTAATTTGGCCTCTGTCTGTCAGTAGTTTATTTTTTAAAGCACAAAAGTCTGTTTTGCTTTCGGTACTGACACCGGACAAATGACCAGTTATGTCCTTTTAAAGATACTTTTGTAGCGGTAGTCAAGACTTCCACCCTTACTTTTAACTTGTTTAAGTTTCTAGTTTTTCGCCATAAGTCTCCCCTAGATCTGACTGTTGAATTACGGACAGGGCGGACCACATTTTGGGACAGGACAGACTGTGATTTAATGTATCGTCCGGTGCCTTTAATTCGTCCCTGTCCTAGAGACACCCACATTGTGCATGTTAGAAAGTCTCAACAAATGTCCGTTAATAAAAAAAACAGTTGTATATTTTTATACATCAAAGTAAATTTAATGTATCTGCAAAATTTCTTTATCATAAAACCATACATGCCATAATTTTTAGACTCATTCCCGGGACACTTCATTTGGAGGTGGGGCATTCATCAGCAAACGTATTTTTGTCTTTCTTTTTTAATTTACTTAGGGCATACAACCAATATTATTGGTATTTATAACAACTTGCAAATTTATTGACAACATAAGCAAGACAAAATGTCAATAATTATTAACAGTTTTTCTATCTTTTTTTAAGTATTTAGGCATCGTAAATTAAATTAGTCACAGAATAGAATTTAATATAAAGCTTAATAATGTTAAGTAAGGACAATTAGCCATGTCGTTTAGCTGAAACATAAAAATGTAAAATTTCTGTCTACAAAGTAGATTAAGTTTTTTCTTTTTTACTGGGACATAAATCATCTCCAGGACAGAAACCTTATCATGGGACTTTCCCGGACATCCGGGAGGTTATGGCATGTATGATAAAACGTATGGATCATAAGTAAATATAGTGTATCAAACTAGCACTGTAAAATGCTTAGTGTAACAAATCATGGCCACCCGCGGATAATAAATATATTTAAGAATTGTAGTTTATATCATACATATATTAATGCAATATATTATTTAAGAATAAATTTGTTTAATGAAATTATTAAAAACAGCATTGAGTTGAACATTACACATGTGATAATTGACCAATCATTGGGATATTACATGTCATTGTGTGTTAAATAATAAGAGGATAAAACTTTTTATTTTACAATACGATACAGAAAAGGCTTGTTATTCACGTCTGAGTCTCTGACATTTCAAACACAATACAACACAATAGCTTAAAGTGATGATGAGCGACATTACAAAAATGAACACAAAAAGAAGACAAAATTTACATCATTCACAGAAAAGATGACTTATTTAATTTATTTTACTGATATAATAAAACATTTATAAGTAAAACTTTAAGATACTTTTTGTTGTTGAAACACCAAGAATTTCCTTCTGCAGGATTTTTTTGCGGAAAGTCTTAACTTTTAAATCAGCTAATTCATGTTTAAAATAAAAGTAGATCATGCACCTGAATAGTTATTATAAACTTGACAATACGATGGCATATAAATGTAATAGTTATTGCTGCAGAAGAGATTATTTCAGATTAAAAGGATAAGTAATCTAGGGGCGCCTGCACAACAGTCACCTAATTTTACTAGGACAGTCCCAGATAGATGTTATCCTCCAGGAAGAGTGCTGCCCCTTGTGGCAAAGGGGTTGCCTTTACTGGATGAGGCAACTTAATGGGAATAACTGGAGACTTTGCATCTGTTAGCTCCAGCGGGTGAGGTGGTTTTAACCCTGGTGTTGCTTTAAGTTTGTAACACTTGAGGATAGCTAAAATCATCTTTCCTGTTTTGGCGCTGTTGACCTAAACTGTGTTGGTGAGCCGTAAAGCAAAGAAGCAAAAAAACTAGGAAGAGACCAAGGCTGCTAAGTTTTTATTAAATGAGGAGAAGCTATGAAATAAACACAACCAAAGTACATGTATACATGTCACAAGATCCTGTGAAATTTGCATGAATAAACTTTGATAGGTTTCTTATAAATAAGTTGTATATTATTATTAGATATATTAAAGATAATTAAATAATTCCCACAGCATGAGATTTCTCTGACAGTGTAAATTTAACTTTTAGACAAGTAAAAAAGAAATGGAAGAACAATCAGAAGGCACAGAGCACTCAGACACTGAAAAGACAGACAATAAAAAGGAGAAGGACACAACAACAAAAGATGATGAAAATGATGATGATGATGATGAAAATGTTTCATCAGGTGATGATGAAGAAGTACTTCCAGGTAATGTTTTGTTGATTTTTGTGCACCCAAACTGAATCGGAACTTGAATGATTTTCAATATTTTATTTAAAAAATACATGAATAATTGTTGATAGGTATGTAAGAAAACCCCAGATGTAGAGTTTTAAACAATGTTGTGTTAGACAACATGATTAATTATTTATTTTCAAGAGTTTCTACAATCTAGTTGGCTCTTAAAAAGTGCCTCAAAATTAAAAAAGTTTTTAAGTCCATGACTTTGGTTAATCTTTAAAAGTGCTTAAATATGTCTGATATGTGCTTGAAAAATAAATGCAGAGTGCATGGTAAAAAGTTGATAGTTTTCAACAAATAAGCCCAAATTAAAATGCAAGCCCAATTTCAAAACACTTCATAAAACATTGTTGAAAAATATCACATATGTTAACAGGGCTCTCTCTCAGTTTTGAGGGATCAGTGCCTGAACTTTCATGTCAGGCAATATTTGCTGCACATATATATTCATTTCTGAGGTATATAATGATGATAATGTGCCTTTTATAAAAAAAAATCGGCAAATTTAAAGGTAAACAAAAACAGAAATGCCATTGATAAGTGTTGTGTGATAAAAACCAAGTATAACCACATGAGTGATATTAGTTAATTTCTTACTTTTAGCATTTCACACCTTAACATTATTTATGTACAATTGTTATGATTATCAATTTTTTTTTCAACCTCAAGTAGCAAAAATAATCATTTAAGTTAATAATACTTGTTTTTAAAGTGTATATTATGCATAATTTTCATGTCTCCCTGGATTAAAAAAATTCCCAAAGAATATTTTGCATCCTATGTAAAATTCCCAATTTAAGTCAAACCAATGTTGTTTTTTTCCCCAACCTGTCCTGTACCGGCACCATTCCCAAAGTAGGGGAAAAAACACTGATGTAACATATATCTGTAAGTTTAGTTTAACAAGAAAATATTCCATCTTTTAGCTGGACTTTTAGAAAAGCCTGTTGTCATAGAAGATGGGAAGAAAAGGGAAAGGAAAAAAGTAGAAAGAATAACCTTTGAGTCAGCAAGGCCTGCAAGTGCTAGTGTTGAAATTAAAGAAGGAAAGGGAAGGAGTCTTGGGGATATACCTTTCAGTGAGTATAACTTTTTGATGAATATGATTTTATTTCTTATGTTTAAACTGTTGTTTAGTAAATGGTTAAGATTAAAATAAACGAAAAATATGTTTTTAAATATAGAGTACCCTCGGAAATTAAAATTACATGAAAAAACAGCAGTATCATGTTACGGCTCTGGATCAGGGGTCTTATAAATGTCGCTTCACAATTTGAAGAAGGCATACAAGGCAGGACATACATTTGAGATTAACTGACATCACAATATTATTGACTGAAATGTTATTTCGTCATTTAATTCAAGTATTTTACTATGACAATTACATATTACATATATATAAGTATAGTGAAAGTATGCCCAAATTAGTCCAGGAATGATGAATATTTATGCCCCAGACATATATATTTGCTCTTGTCCATCCGTCTGTCTGTGTGTGTGTTCTCGTGTAACTTGTTTTGTCACAATGTGACATGTAGCTCTGAAAGTTCTTGAGCTAGAATCAACAAAATTTACAGGAATGTTGATCAGCGTGTAAAGCTATGCACCTGGGGTTTTGCATGTGGATTTATTCAGAGTTATTGCCATTGACTTAGTAATTTGCTATTTTCAAATTGTGTCGTGCATAGCCCAAAAACAATTTGATCTGAAGTCATTAAACTTTACAGGAATGTTTGTCATCATGTGTACAATTATTCTTGTGGATTTGTTCAGTTTTGTTAGACTTATACAAGATTCAGGAAAATTGGACAAACCCTATTTAAAGATGTGAATAGGGACAGACAGAAGGCTGGATGGACTGTAAATCATTTCAATATTCCCCATCATTTTTTTTGGATAATAATATTAAAGGTTCAAAAATGGGACTGAATCATGATTCAATATTACTGTAAAAAAAGGTAAATAATATAAATTTTAATTTTTGTTTTCAGTTGAACACAAATTGGGCAGAATGAAGTCAGAAGACTGTAAACCTTTACACCGTATACTGTACCGCAGACTTTGCACTGTATGTTAATTACTTTAAAAATATACTGTTTAATAGCTCAACATGAGCAGTTCTTGATGAAAACATTACGAGGGTTAACCCTATGTATATTAAAAGAAAAGTTACTTAAGTATTGCTGCTGGCTTCCAAAGAAATTGCACTGAAAAAGAAGAATCTGTTAATGTGTTTTATCAAATAATAATTGTCGGTTTTTGAAGTTTTTTTGTCTGTTATTGTTGATAATTGTCTAATACATATTAGGCCATCCTTAAAAAAATGTTCGTTTGCAGTAACGCGACCGACTCACAAAATTTGCGCCTACTCAAAATTTTTTTTCGTGGTCTGGATAAAAAAAATTTTTTTTTGAATCAGAAAATTATGACTTGTGCTTTGTTTTCTTTCTTTTAAAGGTTAATAGAAGAAATACAAGAGCTGTCGGTAGGACAGCACGCTCGACTATTCTAAGTGCTTGATAGTTAAAGAGCCTTGATAATGTTAAATTTTTTAAGTTCACAAAAGGGCTAATTTTTTTTATAAATTCATGTTGTAGGCCTTAGAGAGAGTCTAATTATACAGTATTGGCTTGACTATTCTAAGAGTAATGTGACAAGGCTGTTTTATTGAGTATAATAATACTAATTACCTATGAATACATATATTTGACAGAAAACGTACAAAGGCTTGTTATTAAGATGTTTTATCAAGTAAATCACTGCTTTATTATTATGAATGCATAAATTGTCCCAAAAAAGGCACAAACCCTTCAGTAGTTATGGAGATAACAGCTTACAAGCAAAACTTTACCATGAATTTCTAAGTTGAAAAAGGGGAGAAAAATCAGCCTAAATGCAAGATAGAATTATGGATCTTTGTCAGTGACCTACAATTATGACCCTAAATGCATATGTGAAGTTTTAAATAAATATCTTTAATAGTTATTGAGATATGTAAAACTTGCATGCAAACATTAACCAAGAGACTAAGTAGAATAGGGGATATGAATCAGCCTTAATGCAAGATAGAGTTATGAAACTTGGTCAGTGACATACAATTATGACCCTCCAATTATGACCCTAAGTGCATGTGTAAAGTTTCAAGTAAATATCTTTGAAGACCTTTAACCTTTAACCAAAATTACTAATTTTTAAAGGGGCAAATAATTCTGCAAATATTGCACACAGAGTTATGCAATTTTGCAAACTGATGTACATTGTTACTATAAAAAAGTATTTTAAATTTCAATTGAATATCTAAAGCAGTAATTGAGATATTTGACTTTACATTAAAACTTTAACCAAAATTTCTATGTTCCAAAGGGGCATAATTCTGTCAATATTGTAGGCAGAGTTATCCAACTTGTCAATCTGATGTACCTTGTTACTATAAATAAGTATTGTAAGTTTCAATTGAATATCTCAAGCAATAATTGAGATATTTGACTTTACAAAAAACTTTAACCAAAATTTCTAAGTTAAAAAGGGGCATAATTCTGTCAATATTGTAGGCAGAGTTATCCAACTTGTCAATCTGTTGTACCTTGTTACTATAAATAAGTATTGTAAGTTTCAATTGAATATCTCAAGTAATAATTGAGATATTTAACTTTACAAAAAACTTTAACCAAAATTTCTAAGTTAAAAAGGGGCATAATTCTGTCAATATTGTAGGCAGAGTTATCCAAATTGTCAATCTGATGTACCTTGTTACTATAAATAAGTATTGTAAGTTTCAATTGAATATCTCAAGTAATAATTGAGATATTTGATTTTACAAAAAACTTTAACCAACGCAGACGCCGACGCGGACGCCGACGCCGGGGCGACTACAATAGCTCTCATATTCTTCGAATAGTTGAGCTAAAAATGTAGGTCTTATTAAATTAGAATTCAGTTATCAATTTATTAATTGTTACCGGATTATCAAAGCATATATTGTCCAGCATTTTGAAATTCCATGTTTATTTGTGAGTACAGTTCAATAAAAAAAAAAAAAAAATCGACCTACCTACCCACCTTGAAAATTCTGGGTCGGGTTACTGCAAACAAACATTTTTTTAAGGATGGCCTTAGATATCAAAAAACCAAATCATTCAAGATTAAGAGTTTGGTTAAATATAATTTTGATTTTGTCAATAATAAAGATTAGTATCAAATATTTACTTGATAACTAAATATTGATGTTGCATATCCAAGAATATATTGAATTGTATTTATGGTTTCTTTTTCATAACTATACAGAATCTTGAAACCAAGAAGAATATTCGGCAGTTCTCTGGGTTTCCATTTTCAAAGGATGATAAAGAGTATGAAAAAAGAATGGAGATGCTGAAATCAAAGTAAGTATTTTGTTACAAAAAGGGTACTTTTACCACAAATAAGAGGTTAATACACGGCAGGAGAGGGCCGGACGGTGATAATAGGCCCGCAAAATGAATAATGGACCCGAGGGCCATTATTCATTCAGGGCCGATTATCACCTTCCGGCCCTACTCTGACGTGTATTAATGTCTTTAATACACTTGGTAGATCTAATAGTAGCATTTAAAAAAAACAACAACAAAAAGTTCTTCGTTGAAATTCTTGTCTGCTCTTCTACTGTTCTGTACAGAGATGTTTACTGTTTGTGTGTTCAAAGCAGTAGAATCTAGAAGCAAGTTTTATTTTCATTTTTTTCGGAATGAATTTGTCGTATTATTTCTTCAAATTTCAATAGTAACAAAAATGTGTTTGTACTAAATACGCTTAAGCTCTCATAATAAAAATAAAGCGATTCGTGCTGACAACCTACTTTCACTTTTACAGTAAACTGTTTGATGACGTAAAATATGACGTCATTGTTTCAGTTTGTGCACGTGCACATGTTCTGCGGGCTGATAACTAGTTCTCGGCCCCGGGCCGCAAACTCATAATAGGTCACGTGACACTCATAATCAGTTGAAATCATAGGCAATTTTGTTACTATATATAGTAACAAGTGTATTAATTAGTGGTAAATTACTCCAAAAAGATTGAATTTATGCATGTATGTATCTGATTGTGTATCAGTGTTGTTGAGTTCTACATAATGTAGAATTTATTTTTACATTAACTGGCAGCATATAATCCAGGTTACTATGATGATAGTTATGAACCCTGGCATGTAATGAATCTGTTAATGTATAATGTTTCTCTTTGTTAAAGTAATTACATAACAGATGTGACAAGGTTTTGATTAATAGTTTTTAGACTAAGTACAAAGTTAAATTTTTAAGAATAAACAAAAGAAGTCAGTTGGTTATTTACATTGACAATCTTTCATAACACTGTAGTGGTTGTAAGTTTAGACTTGTATCACAGAAATTTAGGGGTTTACTGGAGCTAGAAATTAAAATACCTTTACATGGCTTTTTAGCTCACTTGTCACAAAGTGACATGGTGAGCTTTTGTGATCGCTTTTCGTCCGGCGTCCGTCCGTCCATCCGGCGTCCGTAAACTTTTACTTTAAATGACATCTTCTCATTAACCGCTGAGCCAATTTCATCAAAACTTCACAGGAATGTTCCTTTGGTGGTCACCTTTAAAAATTGTTCAAAGAATTTAATTCCATGCAGAACTCTGGTTGCCATGGCAACCAATAGAAAAAACTTAAAATATCTTCTTTTAAAAAACCCAAAAAGGTAGAGCTTAGATATTTGGCATGAAACATCTTCTAGTGAGTGTCTATCAAGTTTGTTCAAATAAAAGCCCTGGGGTCAAAATTGGCCCGCCCCGGGGGTCATTGATTTTCCCTATATGCATATATTAAAAACTTAAAAAATCTGATTTTAAAGAACCCAAAGATCTAGAGCTAAGATATTTAGCATGAAACATCTTCTAATGGGTGTCTACCAAGTTTGTTCAAATAAAAGCCCTGGGGTCAAAATTGGCCCCGCCCAAGGGGGTCATTGATTTTCCCTATATGCATATAGTAAAAACTTATAAAATCTGATTTTAAAGAACCTAAAGAGCTAGAGCTAAGATATTTAGCATGAAACATCTTCTAATGAGTGTCTATCAAGTTTGTTCAAATAAAAGCCTTGGGGTCAAAATTGGCCCCGCCCCAGGGGGTCATTGATTTACCCTATATGCATATAGTAAAAACTTATAAAATCTTCTTTTAAAGAACCCAAAGAGCTAGAGCTAAGATATTTAGCATGAAACATGTTCTAATTGGTGTCTACAAAATTTGTTCAAATAAGAGCCCTGGGGTCAAAATTTGCCCTGCCCCGGGGGTCATTGATTTTCCTTATATGTGTAAAGCAAAAACTAAAAAAAAAATCTTCTTTGAAAAAAAACAAATAGCTAGAGTTTTGTTACTAAGCATGAAACATCTTCTAGTGAGTGTCTACAAAGTTTGTTCATATAAAAGCCCTTGGGTCAAAATTGGCCTCGCCCCGGGGGTCATTGATTTTATTTATGTGTATACATAGCAAAAACTTCTTTGAAAAAACCCAAATAGCTAGAGTTAAGATATTAAGCATGAAATATCTTCGAGTTAGTGTCTTCAAAGTCTGTTCAAATAAAAGCCCTAGGGTCAAAATTGGCCCTGCCCCAGGGGACATTGATTTTCCTTATATGTGTATAGCAAAAACTTAAAAATCTGATTTAAAAAAAACCAAATAGCTAGAGTTTAGATATTAAGCATGAAACATCTTCTAGTGAGTGTCAAATGGGGTCAAAACTGGCCCTGCCCTAGGGGTGTCATTGCTTTTAACTATAATATGTGTATAGTTAAATCTTAAAAATCTTTTTTTTAAAAACTCAACGAGCCAAACCTTAGATGTTTAGCATGAAAGATCTTCTAATGGGTGTCTACCAAGTTTGTTCAAACAAAAGCCCTGGGGTTTAAACTGGCCCCGCTCTGGGGGCCTATATACAGGTGAGCGACTTCAGGGCCATCATGGCCCTCTTGTTTGCATTATTCATTGTATGGATCTTAAAGTTCTATAATAAAACAAGTTATACAAAGATTAGTTTTGTTAGCCCTTTTAAGCTACTTTCAATCATAAACTGATTAATGTATCCAGGGATTTTTTCCAGGATTTTGTGAACATGACCCATACCCATTGAATTGGGATTTCAGCTGTGTTTCATTAAAAATTGGGGGGAAATTCATGACTGAAATTTTGCATTGATTAAATGGATGCAAAGAATTACTGTCTATAATGGCATCTTCAAACATTTAAGCACTATTGCAGTGAAGAAGCCCTTATTTGTTAAGATTTTAGAATTTGTATTCAATATTTTTATTTTTAACCAGGTTTTCAACGAGTCGGCGGGCGGGTGGGTGGGCGGGCGGGCGTCAACTTTTGGTTTCCGCTCAATAACTTTAGTTTGCTTTGGCCTATTGACACCAAACTTGGTGTGTAGGTAGCTTATATCAAGAGGCAGCTTGGGATTGCTACCCAGGTGTCTGTGATCAAGGTCAAGGTCACTGTTACTAAAAATAGAAATTCAGTTTCCGCTCAATAACTTGAGTTTGCTTTGACCTATTGACACCAAGCTTAGTGTATGGATATCTTATATTAAGAGGCAGCTTGGGATTGCTACCTAAGTGTCTGTGATTAAGGTCAAGGTCACTGTTACTAAAAATATAAATTCAGTTTCTGTTAAATAACCTTGAGTTTGCTTTGACCTATTGACACCAAACTTGGTGTATAGATAGCTTATATCAAGAGGCAGCTTGGGATTGCTATCCAGGTGTCTGTGATCAAGTTCAAGGTCACTGTTACTAAAAATAGAAATTCAGTTTCTGATCAAGAACTTGAGTTTGCTTTGGCCTATTGACACCTAACTTGGTGTATGGATAGCTTATATCAAGAGGCAGCTTGGGATTGCTACCCAGGTGTCTGTTATCAAGGTCAAGGTCACTGTTACTAAAAATAGAAATTCAGTTTCTGCTCAATAACTTGAGTTTGCTTTGGCCTATTGACACCAAACTTGATGAATGGGTAGCTTATATCAAGAGGCAGCTTGGGATTGCTACCCAGGTGTCTGTGATCAAGGTTAATGTATTTAGTTTTCATGTTATAACTTGAGTTTGCTTTGACCTTTTGACACCAAACTTGCTGAGTTGCAGCTTTTGATTGCCACTAAGATATCTGGGAGCAAGTTCAAGGTCATTTGCTTACAATAGAATTTTCAGCTTCTACTCAATAACTTCAGTGCTTTTTGACCTATTGATTGCTGTCACATCAAAACTTGGTCGTTGAAAACCTGGTTTTCGTCGCATTGCGGCGCTTCTTGTGTAACTTTAAATTGGGAATTTTTTTCCTGTGGGTTGGGAAAATAATATACTATTTTCAATTGGGAATATGACCCAATAACGGCAATAATATAAGCCAAAAAAAAATCCCTGGTATCATTTCCAAACTTTGTTTCTGTGTTTCATAAGCATGAAGAAAAAATAAAAATGAAAACATTGAACAATCTCATGTGATGAACAAATGTGATATTTGTTCTTTTGAGCAATACGTAACCAATTCCCATTATTAGATGTCTTGAATTTTATGTATAAGTGTAAGCATGTTTAATAAATTCTGCAGGCTATCTTATCTGTGTTCACAAAGAAAAGATCAGGATCAGATGATCCTGATTTTATTTTCGTTGATTTATAAAAAAAATAAAACTGATCGTATTATGCTAGAATTAAATTGTACATATTCGATATAAAAATAATTGCTTATTTACAAAGAAACTAAGCTATTTTGGGATAAAAAACTAAATAACAAAACAAATACAAAATAATCAGATCAAAATGAGGATCAAAATTTTGATCAACTGTATTTAATGCCCATATCTTGTAAAAATAATAAATTTATTCTACAATTTCATAAACATGCTTTTTCAAGTCCAGTTTAATCAAGTTAATACTGAATTTTTAATCTATGAGGATAATTAATGGAGAATATTTGAGTTTTTAAATTTGATCCTGATCATGATCCTTAAATCTTTGTGAACACTGGGCCTGGTGCTGATACAAGACCCCAATCCAAAATAACCTCTTTTTCCCCAATTAAAAAAGGAAGAAAAAATCCCAATTGCTCCCAAAAATTATCAAATTTCTTGAATACTGAGCAAAATTTAATTGTTTAGACCAGTTTCATGAAAGAAATAACAGACTAGGGTTTCTTAATCGGACAAAATCATTATCGATCATAGAAAATAATCAAACAACCTTTTTCAATCAATCATCGATTATATAATCGTAACATTAACAATAACAAAGTAAATATGTACAATGTACATATTTATAAGAATTCCATTAATATTCTATATTTTGTATAACTACCACTTTATCAACTGAAATAAACTAGTTTAAAGATACATGTATACTATGCTCAACCTTGAGTAAAATATTTTAATCAAATAAATTCATGAAAATCTATGAAATTATTATGTCTCAATTCTAATAAAGGAATGAATAAACTATGTATGGGTACAAGTCAAGTTGGTCCTTTCTTAACAAAACTGCCAGGTTTTTTTAATGACACTTTATATTGATATTGTAACTACCTTTAGTGTGTAGAATAATTTTATACATAACATATCTTCTTTGTGTGAAGTCAAAACATATTTATTTTATATTTACAAAAAGACTGTGTAGCAATTCTAAATATTTCCTAATATCAAATTTGAGCATAGTATATCTTTAAACTAAGTAACCGCCTCCGTGGTTGAGGTGTTAGAGTCGATGACTTCTAATCCAGTTACCTCTCTGGCGTGGGTTCGATCCCCGGGAGATGCTTTGGTAGTTTAGCGCGGAGGAAGGTAGTCTAGTACTGGTGTAACTCTCCAGGAACGATGGTTAGGAAACTACCGACCTATATGACTGAAATACTGTTGGAAAAAGGCGTAAAATGAACCAAACAAACAAACATCTTTAAACTAGAATGCCTCACTGTCAACTATTAACTCCATGGTCACCAATATGCTTTCATATTCATTTGAATGAAAATTATTGTTTCAACCAAAGCTGGCTTTGATTTAGAGTGTTATAATACAGTAAGTCACTTAAGAAACAGCAAGAAAATAAATTACCGATAATCGATTATTAAACTGTGTATTCGATCATCCCGATCGGTCCTATAAACGATCAATTTTCGATTATACTTGATCATCGTTTAATCCCTATAACGGACTATATGATCATGCATGTTAGGAAATAAAACTTCAAGGTCAAGTATCAAATTATCTTATCCAGAAATAGCTGGAAAATGACCTGAATTCTCTAAAGCTGTTCTGTATTATCTTCATGTATTTTAGGAAATTCAGTCTGACTATTGTGAAGAAAATGATGGAGATCTTAGACATACCTAGAACAGGTACTAAAAATGAATTAATTACAAGACTCATGGAATGGCTAGAAAAACCTACAGATTCTGGTAGGAAAGTTCCAGCACCAAAACGTAAAAGTAAGTTGTGTAAAACATTTGAAAAGATTGGATATTTTTAAATATTTGTTATGACATATTGTAGTTTTATGGTGAAAATATTTTAAAATCTTTCATACTAATATAGGCAATAAACTTTTAACTTTGTGTGAAGTGGCTGAGAAGTGCTTATGCAATTGTTTGAGGTTTGGATGTAAAGAACTTGAGAGGTCATATTAATTTGTTAAAATTATGTTTAAATGAAATTTAATATTCAACTGCACTGTTATATTAAAAAAGAACAAATTTGCAAGAACAGAACTTAAAAATTATTTACAGGATCAGCAGGTGGTGACAAGAAAAAAAGGGTAAGGAAAACTAAAAAAAAGGCCGGAAATGATGTAGCTGACAGCGATAACGAAAGTGAAGAGGCAGCTGAAGAAAGTGATGACAACAAAGATGATGATGGTGATGATGATGATAAGAAGGCAGATAGCAGTGATGAAGAAGAAGAGGAGGAGGTAAAGGTGATGACAGCTTTAACTTGTTTTATTATCTGTATTTGATCCTTCTGTCTGAGGACAACTTTATTCTTGATTGTAACAATGAAAATAAACCCTTTGTGTTTTTGTATGTTAATTTACTGTTACATAGTTTTTGGTATGCAAAGAAAGACTAGCAATTTTTGGGTCCATTTTGATTATTGATATAACAGGGCTCATCCGGAAGGGCGATTCAGGCGAAAACTTTGCCGTGTATATTTCCATTTCGCTCTCCCAATTGATCAAAGAGAAGTCAACATCGCCGATAAAATCTTAATTCCCAAAGACTTATTACTTGGCGATGTAAAGAGCAGAGATTGTATCCGTAATTATCATTATCCAATCAGAGCGTCGCTTTATACTACCCTTCTACCTGTATGCAAAGCGATAGACCGCCTACTCTAAACAATAAATAATGAGAGCATCGGCCCGAAACGGGTATAATTGTGTGTTTAATATGGGATAAGGCGATAATTATAGATTGTTTTTTCCCCGATCATCTAAACACGTGCATATCTTCCCTAATTGATATACACGCGGTGTTTAACCCGAGTAATGGCGATGTGCAATGGGTTTTTCACGGCTATCACAAAACTGTTAGTCAATTTCATTAATAATCAGCGACCGGATTAAAAACTTAATTATAGTTTTGAATGATTTCAGTCCGGTAACATGAATTAAAAATTGTTATGTCGCTCACATCATGGCTACAGGGCGAAATGCCCAAACCTAGCAGTAAAAGAAAGTTGCTGATTCTGATACACCTACGCGAAAATTTAAGAAAGCCAATTCGCAAAAATCTTACGATTGATATGTTGTAAACAGTGAGAGTGTTTGACATTGTTATCTTTGTAGAAATGCCAAATTTGACACAGCTTACGCACGTGGGCACGACATCCCGGAAAAACTACGAATCATGATCGGCATGCTACATATCGGTCGTATATCATGTGTACATGTATATAACGACAAAATTTGTCAGGAAAGAAGTGTTCTTATAGTTTCAATATATATATTTGTTCTAATGTCATAAATATGACGCTCAGATTAAGATTTATCAATTTTGTAAATTTCAAAAAGCATTATTTATTAAGATATTACAGTTAAACATTTCATGAAAATAAAGGGAGATAATTAGAAATTTATTTTCTATAATTTCTCAGTCAAATTTTTCAATAAGAAATGAATGTATATAATTTTAGTGATCGAATATAATGTGCACAAATATTTGCAGTACATATTTTACATATTCTTCGATGTTTGAAAATTGTTTTATAAGCATAATTATATGCACATAAATTTGACATTACAACATTCAAGATCATAAAAAAATTTCTGTAACCATTCTAACAGAATAGACAGATATTGATAAGCAATATCCAATGTAACTTTATCTTCTATTAAAAGTGAGGAAAGTAATAATATAAAATTAATTTATTCATCATACTTTTTCTTACACATTATTATCAATAAATCTTCATGAAAATATATAAACAAATATTTAGAGAAAGCTTATAAATAGCTGATAAATAGATTAATTGTGTTCATATTATAGTTAAAGGATGTATAGCCATGCATGTTAATGCATACACATTGGGTTGTTT